AACCAAAGCTAACAAGCCACTATGCCAGTCTCTCTTGCTTTGCTGAAGTCAGCTTCCTTTATTTTATTTTGTTTTATTTTATTTATTTATTTTTTGAAGTCAGCTTTTAACAGCAAACCACACACATCTTTGGGTTTTCGTTTTTGTTTTAGTCCTGAGGGTTGAACTCAGGGCTTTCACACTAAGCTACATCTCTAGCCCTTTTTATTTTATTATTTATTTTTTTGAGACAGGGTCTTGCTCGGGGATTTAATAACCCAGGCTGGTCTCAAACTTTCGATCCTCCTGCCTCAGCCTCCCAGAGTTCTGGATTATAGGTGTATACCACCATGCCTGCTTCAAAGCACATAAATCGCAAAGACAAAACTCAGCAGTCTTAAAATTGCATGCATGTAATCCCCTCCCTGACAACAGGTACATTTCCACCCACCTGGAAAGTGCCCTTCACAGCCCCCAGTGGCAACCACTGATCTGATTCTGGCACTGTATGTTATTTTGTCTGTTCTTGAACTTCATGAAGACAGAATCTTTTTTATTTTGAATTGTTTTGAGACAGTCTCACTATGTAGTCCAGGCTGGCCTTGAACTCAGGGCGACCCTCCTGCCTCAGCCTCCCGAGTAGTGGGATTACAGGCATGTGCCACTACGCCCAGCTATGAAAACAGAATTGTGCAACCCATAGTTATGTGTGTGACTCTGTGTCCCCCACAACACGTGTGGGCGTTTCCACACCATCATATACATCAGTAGCCTGTTTCTCTTCACCCCTGTGGAGTGTTCCACTGTGTGACTATAACACAGTTTACCCATTCTCCTATTATACACACCTGGGGTTTTTGCAGGTGGGAGGCTACTCTGGGGGAGGAACAGGAATATTCCAGTCATTTTCCTCTCTCTCCTTTTTTTTTTTTTTCGGCACTTGGAATCGAACTCGAGACCTTGTGCTTGCCAGGCGGGCACTGTACCACTGAGCTGTATCCCCAGCCCCTTTTCTCTTTTGTTTATAATAGTGGGATTGAACCCAGGGCCTTCGCACTGAGCTATGTATACCCTAGCTCTTGCTCGTAAATTTTAAAAGGTTGTTATCACTACGTGTTCGCAGTACATAATGATTACATTCCTCACAGGACTTGGTGCAGGCACAGGACACACTCTAATTCTTCTTTCCTGCCCTTCCTCTCCCCGCAGTTCTTGGCCCCCTTCCCTTTTACAAAAGAGCTATCTCCCGGCTTCCCGTCATCTCTCTTTTATTTTGCTTTCTATCTATCTTTTGGACTGAGACGGTGTCTCCTTAAGTCACTAAGTCGTCCGGGCTGGTTTGGAATTTTCAGTCCTGCTGCCCCGGCCTCCCAGAGTGCTGGGACTGCAGGTGTGCACACCACGCCTGGCTCCGACCTGTCTTTCCACGACACATGTGCCCGTCTCTGTTGGGTACAGGCCCACCTGGGAGTGGAGACGCTGGGTGGCAGGCTGTGTCTAGACCCTTCCTAAAGCCCTGTGTCATTGGCTTCCTGTCGTATCTGAAGGTCCCCGGTCGCTCACTCTGTCTTGTCCCTGCCACCTGCCAGCATTGCCAGTCCTTTTCGTGTTAGCCGTTCTGGGGGGACAACTCAGCCCTTTCCCTGGAAGCCGCCTTTCTCCTGCAGCCCAGAGGCGCAAGTGAGAACAGGGGCTGGGCCAGAGCAGGCCTGCCTGCCTCCGGGTGCAGGGGCCTGGGGGCCGGGACAGAGGCGGATGCTGAGAGTGCAGAGCGGGCACGGGCCTCGCATAGGCAGCCCAGAAGAGGAGCTCCGGAATTGAGCCAGGAGGCGGTGGGAGGCAGAGGCCCTGTGTGCTGGCGCTGGGCCCCTCGTGATGCCAGAACAGCCTGGTGGTCATGGGAGGAGCTGCATGGCCTCTCCTGGGATGCCAGAGACACTGCTGTGCTCATCTAATGCAGGGAGAAAACACGCCCTTAACAGACGGGGCAGACTGAGGCCCATAAAGGGAAGGGACTTCCTTGCAGTCACACAGCAGCGACTGTCGCCCGGGTTTCTGGTTGTCTGTGCTAACATCTTCCTGCCCTCCCGGCTCCATTCTGGGAATCCAAGAGGCAGGAAGGAGGCTTCAGGGCCAGTGCCTGTCTCCCACAATCCCTCAGGGCCCATCTGCCATAGGCCCCTCTCTCAGGGACACATCGCCCCCATCTGCACAGTCTGAGCCAGAGGGCCCTCTCTTCCACTGCTCCTGCTTCAAAGGGCTCCTTCTCACTTGCCGCTGCGCCAAGGCCTCCTCTTCCGAAGTCCCTTCTCCAGAGCTCCTCCCACCCTCTCACTCGGAAAACCCCTGCGTCCGGCATCCCTGCCTCTGGACCCTACCATCCCCCTCCCCTGCAGACCTGTGTCCTGCCATGGCCGTGCTGTGGCACCTCTAGTCCTTTGCACGCCCTCTGCTAGGGACAGGCTGTGGAACAAAAGGGCTTTCACTCACTTCTGAGAAAAATGAGCAGCTCCTATAACCACAGGCAAACCCAGACTCTCCCAGCTGGCACGGACAGAGGCAGCTGGACCTCTGCCACTAACCCAGGTCCCAAGATTCCTTGTCCTGGGGGCTCTCTGATAGTTACCTCTGCACCCCCCTCACGTTGCACTCTAGTACTGCTCCTCTGGTGATGTTCAAGTGTATAGTACACTCATGTTCCTCTTGATTTCTGAAGCAAGGCTGGACCCAGATTGGAAAACCTGAGCAAAGTACACTAACAGCCTGGGGTGATAAAAGGGAACTAAACAGAAACCAGCTAAACTGGTCTTCAAAGTTGCTTGTTTGATCAGTTCGGGACCCGGGACCCACCCAGGGGTGCCTCTCAACTGCCCACCAGAGTTTTTGGCAGGGGCAATCTTCCCCCACTCCTGAAGAAGTATCTCTCACCAGGCCCCAAAACACAGACTCTAAGGATGTGGACCTTGGAAGACAGGAGTTGGGGTTAAAAGGTTCACCTGGGCTGAGCGTGGTGGTACATACCTATAATCCCAGCACGTGGGAGGCTGAGGCAGGAGAATTGCCATGAGTTCAAGGCCAGCCTGGGCTATATAGCAAGACCCTGTCTGGCAAAGAAAAATTCACCTGGAAGATGAGCATGGCAGCACGTGCCTATAATCCCACCAATTGGGGGAATGAGGCAGGAGGATTTTGAGTTCAAGACCAGCCTGGACTACAAGCAAGACCTTATTTTAAAAAAAAAAAAGTGGGCAGGACATAGTAGTACATGCCTCTAATCCCAGCATTTGGGAGGCTGAGCTGAGGCAGGAGGGTTGCTGCAAGTTTGAGGCCAGCATGGGCTACATAGTGAGTTCAAGGCCAGCCTTAAGTACACAGAGAGACCCTGTCTCAAAAGAGAGAGAGAAAGAGAGAGAGCAAGAAAGAAAGAGAAAGAAAACCTCACTCGGATATTCCTCTAGTTTCACCCAGCTTTGGAGAATTAGGATCTCATCCCAGTAGGGAGCTCGATTTTCCTGACACTCCCAGGTACACTTCTTGAGGGCCTGCTCAGGGCCCCCCCCCTTTAGAGCTCTGCCCTTGGTTTCCCAGAGTTCACCCTGGCAGGGGCAGGCCATGGAAGAATTTGGTTAAAAACAGAGAACCATGCCTGTGGGAGCTGCGAAAAGAACGTCCCAAGCCTCAGGTACCAGCCACTCTTTGGGACCTCCAAGGGCCAAGCAGCCCCTAACATGTTAGTATTAAATTTGAGGAGACTGAACTGTAGAAATAACCAGAATATGCATAATGTACTGTCAGTAACAACTACATTTATTGAGCAGTTACACAATGTCAAGGCTCTTTTGGGCATTTTACATGCAGCACTGGACTGAAGCATAGCAACCCCATTAATGTGGTACTATCCAGGTGAAGACACTGAGGTACACAGAGGTGACTAGATCAAAGTCCCACCACCCAGATTTTCTCCTGTGTCCGACTCCAAAATTTCAGCTTTTTGGAATAATTCTCTCTTCAAAAAAAAGTACCAGTGCATGTTTGCAATACATAATAAATATATTCATTGTGCAGTATTGGCACATGTACATATTACATCTTGATTTTTTTTTACTTCCCCTTCCCCTCCTGTCTCTTTCCATCCCGAGAGCCCCCTTCCATCTCCACAAAGTCCATCTTCCTGTTTCCTATCATCTTTAGTGTAGGATTTTGCTTTTAAGTTATTTACACGTTGGGTTTCTCATATAAGAGAAACCATGTAATGTTTAAACTTCTGTGTCTGATTTATTTCACTTAGCATTGTGGACTCAAGGTACATCCATATTCCTACAAACGACTCAAATACATCCTTTGTGGCTGAGTAGCACTCACTTGTGTGTGTGTATATATACCACATAATAATTCCCTCTTTCAAGAATTCTTGACCCCTCCCTTTTCCAATTTGCCTCCTTCCGATCCCGAGCTGTGGGAGTGGTGCGGGGATATCCCTGATACTAACTTACTCGCCCCTAGGAGTCCAGGGGTGGGAGAGCTTCACTCTAGCAATCACAGCCCCCTTCCCAGCACCAGCCTCTTAAGGAAGGAATTGATTCCCACAAATTATCTACAATCTTAATACTCAAAAACTGTGATCTACCGGCCAGCAATGGCAGCATCACCTGGGAAGCTATTAAAAATGCGAATGATGGGCTCACTCTAGACTCACTGAGCCAGAACATCTGGTCTTTGTCCCAGGAACAGTCTCTTGTCAAGCTCTCTAGATGTTCTGTAGAATCAGGAAGACAGCTCTGAGCGGAGGTCATAGTACCCCTCAAGGGAGTACACAACACCCAACACCCTCTTCTGTCATTCACTTGCCCAACTCCACACCTTAAACTACAAATCCCACAATGCCCAGCGCCCCCCCACGTCCCTCTTTCCGGGACTACATTTCCCTAGGTGCCTTGCAAGTCAGACCTCCGTCGGGGCGCTCGCCCGGCCGGACGATGCCTGAACTACAACTCCCACAATGCTCTGCGGCGCAAACTACCGCCCCCTGCGGCTTGGGAGCGGCTCCACGTCGGCTCCGCCGGGTGAGGCCAGGCTCGGGCGGAGCCGGCCGGGTCTGCAGGGCAATCGTTACAGCAATCGTACCCCGCACAGCGCAGACATGGCAGCCCAAAAGGACCAGCAGAAGGATGCCGAGGCAGAAGGGCTGAGCGCCACGTGAGCTATCCGGCTCCAGTCACCCTGACCCGGGACGCGGGAGTCCAGTCCCCTTCTCGCTCGAATCCCGGGAGTCCCAGCCCCCAGCCAGAAGCCTACACCCCCGATTTTCTTTTCAGGGACCCTAGAGCTGGGTCCCCAGGCCCCTGCTTCTCTGGTACCCAGGAATCCTGGCTCTCTCCTGGGACCCGACCCTCCTGGATCCCGGAGTCCAGCCCCCGCTACCCCGTTACTCCCCGCGGGTCTGGGCCCCATCCCGATCTGCAGCTGACCTGCCCCGTTTCCTCGCCAGGACCCTGCTGCCCAAGTTGATTCCCTCTGGCGCAGGCCGGGAGTGGCTGGAGCGGCGACGGGCGACCATCCGGCCCTGGGGAACCTTCATGGACCAGCAGCGCTTCTCACGACCCCGCAACCTGGGCGAGCTGTGCCAGCGCCTGGTGCGCAACGTGGAATACTACCAGAGCAACTATGTGTTCGTGTTCCTGGGCCTCATCCTGTACTGCGTGTGAGTGCCCCGTCCCGCCCCATTCCGCCTGTCCTGTCAGATGGACCCGCCCCACTAGCACCTGGCCTCCATGTAGCTCTGCTACTTTGTCACCAAGGGCCAGGTCTCTACTCCCCCCATCACATGTAACGCAGCCTTCTCTGGCCTCCACCCACTAGTGTTCAAGACCAGGGTCCCCTGGCTAGTCCGTCCCCACATGCCTGACCTCTGCCTCCCTGCCCTCTTCCTCTAGGGTGACATCTCCCATGCTGCTGGTCGCTCTGGCCGTCTTCTTTGGTGCCTGTTACATTCTCTATCTGCGCACGTTGCAATCCAAGCTTGTGCTCTTTGGTAAGAGAATACCCTGCCCAGATGGACTGCTAGTTCTCTTGGAATGAAAACCTCAGGCCCCAAACGGAAGTCTTTGGAACCCAAGTCTGCCCAAGCCTAGTTGTACACTACCTGCTAGCCCGATCTGTAAAATCTCAGACACACCTGATCCTCACATCCAGTGTTAGCGTCCCCAAATTGCTATTCCTCAAACCCATAATGAGACGCCCTGGAACCCACGCATCACCAGGCTCCTCTGAGGTGAACCCACCCCTCTCCTCTTCCTCCTTGCTAACTTCTGCGGGAAGCACCCGCCGCAGCTACTCACATTGGACACCAGGTGGCGACCTTATGCAGGCCTAGGTCTGTCAGTTCCCTTTGGTGTTTCCTGGGGTGGGACCGGAAAGATCTTGAGACTTCTCAAAGAGGAAAGCTGAGGCCTATGACCCATAGGGCCCCAGAATGCTACTAAGATGTGTGGGAAGAAAGATGTCAGGGGAGCTTTCACCCAGGAGAAATCTCAGATTTGCCATGGGGACAGAGATTTGGAATCCATCAGACAGACCTAAGACAAGGTCATGTGAAAAATGGGCTGGCATGGAAGGCTATGGAAGGAGCCCTTGAATCACAGCCACAGCTTACGGTCACCAGAGCATGCAGACCAGACCCTCCAGTCTTATGTGAGAGGCCAGAAAGCTGCATTTTTATGGGAGATCACTCAGTGTAATTCTTGGCCACAAACCAGAATCTTGTGAAACATCTCCAAGAACATATCCTCAAGTCAGAGTTGGCCCTGAGGCCGCCAGTTTGAGTGCAGGTGGGCCCTGGGCTAGGGAGCCGGAGGCTGGGCCTTTATAGGGCAAAGGGGGCTGAAGGGCAGGGGCAGGGTCTGAGGAGGCTTGTTATATTTTGTGGTGCAGGGACATTGGGGGAACAGGATGCGGCTGGGACACAGCATGAGAGGGCATGAGGGGTCTGGGTTCAGTCCCGAAGCTTCCAGAGCTTGTGACACCAGATTGTCGGGGGGCAGCCGGGAGGGTGCACCGAGGGTCAGGGTTGGAACAGCTAGGCAGTGCTATCTGCCCTCAGGCCGAGAGGTGAGCCCAGCGCATCAGTACGCTCTGGCTGGAGGCATCTCCTTCCCGTTCTTCTGGCTGGCTGGTGCAGGCTCGGCTGTCTTCTGGGTCCTAGGTGAGTACAGGGTCGTGGTGGGGTGAGACCAGGTGAGGGCGCGTGGCCCTAAACCACCTGTTCTGCAGGAGCCACTCTGGTTGTCATCGGCTCCCACGCTGCCTTCCACCAGATCGAGGCTGCGGATGGGGAGGAGCTGCAGATGGAGCCTGTGTGAGGTATCCACAGAGACCTGTTGGCCTCCTGGGCCAGCCACCCCATCCCTGTCCATCCCTTTCCTGGACCACTCTGCTGCTTGGACTCATCCAGGGAGGAGCTCCGCCTTTAGAAATAAAGCCATTACAGTTGCCATTCAGCGAATATCTCCCTGTGTCATTGTGGGCCTCTGTAGGGGCATGCTGGGAAGGCAGCAGGCATGGGGAAAACAGGGAGTACGATATGTAAGTAAAATATCATAAGAGGTCAAGTGCTGAGGAGAAGAGTTGAGAAGGGAAACTGGGCATTGTAACACATGTGTGTAATCCCAGTACTCAGGAGGCTGGAAAAAAAAAAGCTGGGCGTAGTGGCGCATGCCTGTAAACCCAGCACTCAGGAGGCTGAGGCAGGAGGATTGTTGTGAGTTTGAGACCAGCCTGGGCTACAAAGTGAGCTCAAGGCCAGCCTGAACTGCACAGCAAGACCTTGTCTCAACAAGACAAAAAAAAAACCCAACAGCAACAAAAAACGCTGAGGCAGGAGGATCAGTAGGTCGAAGCCATCCTGGGCTATACAGTGAGACTCCATCTAAAAAAGAAGAGACTTGAGGTTCAGTGATGTGCTAGGAACTCAGGATTTAGTGCATAGCTGTCCTAAGAGCTGTGAGTATCATGAAAGGATACCCCCAAGTTAAGAGCAAACCAGGCTCGGCTTTCTCCTAATTCCTCCCTCTAGCAATGACTTGTGACAACACCTGTAAAGTCTTAAGTCTCAGTACCTGGCGTCCAGGTACTGAGCACATCTGTGTTCCAAAAGTCCAGACTCCCAGGAGCAAGGCTGGGCTCGATGTAAGGAGCGTTGTTTGCACAAGCAGTCTGGACGTGGTGAGCCACACCTACCCGGGGATGAAGAGCCTCCCGAATCCAAGTTCCCAGACCCCGGCCGGGGAACCAGCTGCGCACAGGCCCGTCCCAGGACATGACCTCGGCTTACTGTGCTGTCCTTGCCAGGCACGGTGGCACATGCCTGCATTCCCAGCGCTCTGGGAGGCTGAAGCAGGAACTGCGCAAGCGTGATTCCAGCCTGGACACATAGCAAGTTAGACAGATTCTATCTCAAAAGAAAAACTTCAAAGGGCTGGAATGTAGCTCAGCGCAAAGGTTTAATCCAAGGGGAGAGGATGGGAGAGGGGAGAGAGAGCCACACCCATGGCTTGGGTTCTGTTTCTGTGGCACGCTGGCATGCGTGCTGTGCAGGCAGCTTTGCTATAAGCAAATGAGGGCCTGCCCTCCCGGAGCTCACCTTTGTGGGAGACGCTGTTGAGACACAAGCTATTCAAGCTACCAGCAGGAAGCCCTCAGGAATACCTCCGGAGCCAATCCAAAGGGCCTAGGCGGGTGAGACTAGAGAGTAGTTGGAGGAGGGGTGGGTTCGCTTAGAGCACAGAGGCAGCGCTTTGCTAGGGGATGAGGGGCAGCTCGCCCCTTGGAAATCCAGGGTGAGAGTATTCTGCCCAAAGGGAACATCAAGTGCAAAGGCCCCAAGGTCCGATCTGCTCAATGACACGATGGCGTCATTGTCACTGAGGCCGAGGTGAAGGGAATAGGGGAGCAGCCTTAGGGGATGATGTTGGGGAGGACCCTGGGGGCCAGATGGCACAGGACCCGCAGGCCTGGGCATGTTCTTCGGATTTTAACCTAAGGTAATGTGAGACCGCAGAAGAGTTCCGTGCAAGGAAGAGACAGGGCCAGGCGGGGATGTTAGAAATGTTCCTCTGGGGCTGTGTGGAGGATGGGCTGGAGGGGGTGAGATCAGGATGATCAAGCCAGGGAAGACAAGGTAGGGACCTGGGGTGGAGAGGAAGGACATGAGACAGATTCTGAAGAGAAGGGACAGAGTTTGGCTACTGGCATGTGGGAGCTCAGGGGGGTAACAGGCAAGGATGCCCTCCAGGTTTCAGGCCTTGGCCACCCGGGGAAGACCAGGAGGCTGGGCGTCTTGATCCACACAGGGCTGGAATGGCCAACTGAGGACGTGCTTCCAGCATGCGCCACCAGAGGGCAGACAAGTGCTTCCTCGATTTGATCCGGAGAGGGAACCAGAAATTGACTCTACCTGGGAGACACAGCAGGTTGGGAACCTGCGGGGCCTGAGGCCCAGTCAAGTCACCCAGGTCCACTCAAAGGCCAGGGACCAATTTTGGGGTAGCACAAGGTGTTTTGTTTGGTGTCTCAGTGCCAGTGTTCCCTGGGGAAACTGAATCTCCATGCCCGTCTCATACGGTCCGGCTATCTCTTTTTTTTTTTTTTTTTTTTGGAGACGGGGTCTTGCTATGCAGTTCAGGCTGGCCTCGAGCTCACTTTGTAGTCCAGGCTAGCCTCGAACTCGCGAAGATCTTCCTGCCTCAGCCTCCTGAACGTAGGGAGTATAGGCGTGCGCCACCACACCCTGCAGCCCAGCTGTCTTATTTGGAGGTGACTACACACTTGAGACAGATCACTGGGGCGCAGAGTCAGCAGGCTGGCTGAGGGTAGGGGGATGTTGACACTCAGCCCAAAGGCCAAATCTGGGGAGTCCTTGATTCACTGAGAGGCTGAGACTAGAAGCTTCTGTTGGGGTTGGTGAAGACTGGGGGCCCATTTCCCCACCTGTCTCCTCCAAATGACCTTGGGATTAAAATATTTGGTTTGGAATCACACACAGGAGGGCTTGTTCTCTCATCTAGGGGACAAAACTAAAGGTCTGGTTGTTTATTTTGTGGAGAGCGCCAGGGGTTTGGTTGGCTGGCAGGAGGTGACAGTTTGGGAATCTGTCTTGTTTGGGCTGACGGCATTGGCTTCTGGTTTGGGGTAACGAATGGATCTATTATCAAATTTAAGATGAGTGGTCAGATGACACAGACTAGGATTCCTGAGGCCCGAGTGTCTGGGTGGCAAATTTTGAGTGGTGAGGCAGAGAATCCAGACTCTAGTTTTCGGGTGACGAGATAAGGGGCCCCCTTGGTAGGGTGTCTCCACCCAATAAGCGTCATTCCTACCTTAGGCAGGAGAGACAGGTGATGCTGCCTAGTTTGGAGCTGCAGTGGGCTAGAGTTCTGAGGTTCTGGCTGGTGGGGACAGAGCCTGAGAGTCCTGTTATGTAATTTAGGACAACAGAGACTAGGGAGGAGGTCTCATTACCTAGCGAGAAGTGATAGCACCTTGCGGGGGTGTCTCATATCGTAGTTTGGGGAATGCCTGCTAACATAGTTTGAGGTTAAAGACACAGTGGGTCCAGCTGTCGCATTTTAAGTGACAGATAAGGGATTCTTATCTGTTGGAAGTGACACGAACTGGAGTGGTTGGAGGTGTCAGAGACGGGTTCCTATCTGGGCTGGGATGCTAAGGTCTGCTTTGGGGTGTATTATGGTTCAAATTAAGATGTCCCCCGAAAGCCTCAGGTGTTCAGAGGTGGAGCTTTTGGAAGGTAACTGGATCATGGGGACACTATACATCAGCAGATTAATTTTTTGATGAGTTCCTGTACTGCTAGGAGGTAGGGCCTGATCTGGAAGGGTGTATTCTGTCCTTAGCGCTTCTCTTATCTTTCTCTGATTCTGGCTGGTGAGGTGAGCAGCTGTCCTGGCTATGTCCTGCCGCCATGCTATTTTTGCCTTGGAGCTAGCCAACAATGTACTGAACAATTTGAAACCATGGGCCAAAATAGACCTCTCTTCTAAGTTACAGGTGTCACATATTTTGTCCCTGAGATGGGAAAGAGACTAATACGGGTGACAGGTTGCGGTGTAACTGTCTAGTTTTGAGTGATCACACTGGGACTCCCGGTCCTACCTTAGGGCAAATAGGGTCTAACCTGTTTTGGGGTGACAGCTACGTTAAGAAACTGAAATTTATAGTTTGGGATACCATAATGAGGGCTCAATGACAAGTGTAGAGCAACAGAAATTGGGGTCTCCTGAACTCCATAGGGCGACCTGAGACTTGTACTCTGGTTATCTCTTTTGGAAGGGTAGAGACCCTAAGGTCAAAGGCCCAGCTTGGGGTTATAGAGACCAAGAAACTATTATCTAGTTTGGAGTAGTGACACTGGAGTGTAGGGACTTGGCTTAGGATGAGAGAGCTTGGGAAAGAAGTTGGCTAGTGTAAGGGTGCAGAAACTCCAGGTCTGGTTGCCTGCTTGGATAGCAGATGTGCTAGGGCCTGGCCGAATGGCTGTGGGGACTACATAATGGAGGCCCAGGTGTCCAGTTTGGGACAATCACATGGGAGTTTGTTTATCTAGCTTGGGGTGGAGGAGAGTAGGAACTTAACTGTCCAGTTTGTAATGACAGAGGCAGGTCCCAAGGTGTGTCTGTGGTGACAAAAACCGAGGGTTTGTTAGTTAGTTTTGTGGGATGAATCTGAGGTACCAAGGACTGTGGGGGTTGACTGACTCTGGAAGTCTGGATGCCTAGTTTTGTGGGACAGAGGTTAGGGTCCCTGGGTATATTTGGAGTGATGGAGAATGGGTGCTCATTGTCTCCTGTGGGTGAGGTGGTGGATAAGCCTAAGTGTCAACTTGACTGGAGTGGGAGGGATTTAGTAAAGCATAGGGATTTAGTAAAGCATAATTACTAGGGATTTAGTAAAGCATAGGGATTTAGTAAAGCATAATTCTAGGTGTGTCTGGATCACATGACCTTGGGTACTCTATAAGGTCCCTGGCCCCTTCTTTTCTTGTACTGTTCCCTGGCTTTGCTTCCTGCCTGCCATGAACTACGCGTCTTTGCTCTACCATGCCATTCTGACATGATTTTTCTGCCTTGGAGCTAGCTGACCATGGACTAAGTTCCCTGGACACATGGACCAAACTAAACCTTTCTGACTTTAAGTTGTGGGTGTCTGGTATTGTGTCCTAGTAATGGGAAAGCTGAATAATATGGGGGGTTTAGGTTCATTTTGGGTAAAATAATGGGGTCTAGTAGTGTAGGTTGTTGGACAGAATCTGGCATCCAAAGACTTTTTTTTAGGTGCTAGACTGGAAAAGTCTGGAAATTTACTTGTACAATCTTGGTTGGGAACTGGGTGCTCAGGTTGCTAGTGTGTGATGCCTATCTCGAAGTGGCAGACATTATCCACCTATTGTCAGGTCTGGAGCAATATAGTCTCTCAGTTCCAGGTGACAGA